TTCTGGCTATTTGGTGGTTAATTGGAGATAGTTCTCATGAACTTTCCTGCCTGGGCTGGCTTCTAACTGTGATCCTCAGATCTTGCAATTCTGAGTAGTTAGTACATTTTTTTTGGGGGGGGTCCAGTCGTGGGGCCTGAACTCTGGGCCTGGGCGCTATCCCTCAGCTCTTCAGCTCAAGGCTAGCGCTCTACCACTTGAGCCACAGCGCCACTTCCAGCTTTTTTCTTTTTGCTTATGTGGTGCTGAAGAATCGAACCCAGGGCCTCATGCATGCAAGGCAAGCGCTCTACCACTGAGCCACCTTCCCAGCCCCTAGTTAGTATATTTTTATTGAAGTAAAATTCATACAAAATTAACCATGCTAAAGTATAAAACTCTAGTGTCCTGAACATAAGCAAAATGCTGTTCAACCATCACCCACAGCTAGTTCCACAGCATTTCATCATCTCTAAAAGGAAATCCTCTGTTTGTGATGCAATCATCCTGTACCAGGGACACAATCATTCCATATCCCTTCTACCATCAGCTCCCTGTGGATTCATCTATTCTGAATATTTCATATGAGTGGGACTACATAATATGTCTTCTTATTTATAGCTATTTTATTTTATTCAACCTGTTTCTTTTTGTGGCTAAATAACATTCTATTGTATGGATATATTGCATTTTATTTATTTAATCATGAACTGAGTTGTCTCCATCTCTTGGCTATTGTGACCAAGAGAGGCTGCTACAAACAAACATGTAAGTATTTGACTGAGTTCCTGTTGTTAATCCTTTTGGGTACAATCCTAAAATTAGACGTGCTTTGCAATTTAGTACACTTATTATGTGGCCAAGGGCAATATTTTCTTAAGTTTCTCCAGATGATTCTACATAATGTTGATATAAAGAACTACAATGTATAAGATAGACAAGCTATAACAATAGACAGAAATGCAGCCAGGAGCTGGTGTGTCATACTTGTAAACTTAGCTATTCAGGAGGCTAAGATCTGAGAATTATGCTTCAAAATGAGCCCAGAAAGGGAAAGTCCATGAGACTATTCTCTTCAATTAACTGGCATAAAGCCAGAAATGGAACTATCATCCTAGTGGTAGCGTCCTAGCATGGAATGGAAAAATTAAGGGACAGTGCTCAGGCCCCGAGTTCAAGCCCAGAATGGGCAAATAAGTAAGCAAACAGAATTCACATATGAAGAAGATTCAGAGTGGGAATATGATACAGCCAGAGTCTTAAGTCCTTGGGAAAACATTTCAGAAGCTTTCAGAGAGTCAAAAAAGGAGTAGAATCAACAGGGAGAAGAAAAAGTGTCAGAGAGAGAAGAAAATCTCTCAAAGGAGGAATCACTAAAAACAAATGCTAGAGCCAGGCACCTGTAGCTCACTCCTAACTACTCAGGAAACTGAGATCTAAGAACCACAATTCAAAGCCAGCTGGGTAGGAATGTCCATGAGACTTTTCTCTCCAATTAAGCACCCAAAAAACTGCTGTGGCTCAAGTGGTAGAGTTCTAGCCTTGAGCACAAAAGTTCAGGGACAATGCTCAGGCTCTGAGTTCAAGCCTCAGGATTGGCACATACATACACATACATACAAAAAAAACCTGGTATGTGCACGTGCGAGCACGCGCAAACACACACACACACACACACACACACACACACACACACACACACATGCTGAAAGGAAATGAATCTGTTGCATATAGCAAAATAGGAATGTGAAGGATATTAGCCTCAAAGAGGTCCTGATTCCAAAAAGCTAAAGTATAGAGGAGATGCAGAGAAGCAAGGATAATAGTATGACATATTTGATACTATTTGTGCTGAAGAGCAAAGATCACCTCCTGTTTCTTTATTCTCAACTAATACCTGGGAACACACCTAGAAATGTAGACTGCAAACATTAAGCCCACAGATGAGAGACATCTGGGACAGACCAGTTCACAGCAATAATTTATAGCACAGTAGCACAGTACACACCAGTCACCATCCTGCTCACCACATTATGACCTTACTAGGAGTTTAGATAAATGAAAAATATTTAAGTATAATGACATATAATTAGCAAAACTGTATGATTCTCATTTTATTTACTTATGTGTATGTGTGTGTGTACTATTTAGCATCCTGCTGACCATATTAGGACCTTACTAGGATTGTAGCTAAATGGCAAATATCTATGGATAACAATATATAATTAGTAAAATTTTATGATTCTCTTTTAATCAATTAATTAAACCTTATTTTTTGTGCTAGTACTGGGACTTGAACTGAGGACCTGGCACTCTCGTTTAGCTTTTTTTACTCAAGGCTTGTGCTCTAATACTTGAGCCACACTACCACTTCTGGGTTTTTGAGGACTTTCTATATTTTTAAATTTAATTTGATTTTTTGTATGATTCTCATTTCAGCAAAATATTTAATAAGTTCTGTCTTGTTCCCTTCATTTTCTACAATTGTTTTTTATTTTAATTTTTATTTATCTATTTTGGTCCTAGGGCTTGAACTCTGGGCCTAGCCATTGTCACTTAACTTTTTCCACCCCAGGTACTCTACAACTGAGCTACAGCTCTACTTCTGGCTTTTTTTTTTTTTTTTTGTCGGTCGTGGGGCTTGAACTCTGGGCCTGGGCGCTGTCCCTCAGCTCTTCAGCTCAAGGCTAGCGCTCTACCACTTGAGCCACAGCGCCACTTCCAGCTTTTTTCTTTTTGCTTATGTGGTGCTGAGGAATCGAACCCAGGGCCTCAGGCATGCAAGGCAAACGCTCTACCACTGAGCCACCTTCCCAGCCCCAGAGCCACAATCTTCACCTCCTAAATAGCTAAGATTATAGGCATGAGCCACTGATGCCTGATTAAAATTGTTTTAATTTGAAGTTACCCATTTTTACACTATATTTGCCCATCTCTGAATCAATACTGATTTTAAAAACACATTATGAAAAGTTATGATCTGAAAAAGAAACTCTTTTCCTGTTCTTAGAGAATAATATAACTCCTACAATGATTATATTTTAAAGACAAAAAGTGAAAATCCAGGTTGATCTTACGTAGGAAGCCACATATTAAATTTAGCTCACATTTAAATTCTCAATGAACCATAAGTACTTATGTAGTGCAGGAGTTTTTTTTTTAAGTACATGCCATTTTATTTTTCATCCAAAGTGTGAGATCAGCCAAGAAATGCCCCTGAGAGCAAGAAAAGAGTGAACTCTCCTTGATTCTTTCTTTCAGGTTATGCCTCTATTTGGTAGACAGTCACAGTATTTAATTTGAAATTTCCTTTTTCCGTGCCAACTGTAGTTTGAACTCATGCCTGAAATGTCCTTAAGCATACAGACTGTGTGACACACAAAGCCTCTGTGAAGGCAGCCAAAGCAAGAAGGGGGAAGGAGATGGTTTTATTTAGCATCAAGCACCTGGTCAGAAGAGAGCATGTTTCTGTAAAGCCTAAGGCATTCCTGGTTCTCCCCTGAGAATCCAAACACACATGTTTTGATTTCCCTTTGAAAAACTTTTGATTTCCCCTTGAAAGATTTTAGCATGTTTGCTTTGTGATACACTTTACCAGTATATTCCTGCATTGTTTTTGTTGTTTCTGTTACTTCTGTTTGTTTCTGCCACCAATAAGCTGGAAGATGTCTTCTTGGTTAATGTTAGGGTTTGACAGGCAGAAGTGACTCACCACGACTTGTAGCTTTGTAACAAAACAGAAGTGCCCACATGGAGAAATTCACCCAATCAGTACCTATTCACTTTATTTACAAAGGAATTTTTCCCATCCCTTTTTTTTCTACTTGTTTGCCATCAGCCAGTTCTTGGCCTTTGGTAACCATTCATCTTTCTCAAGTTTTCACCATTCATCTTTCTCAAGTTTTCACCATTCATCTTTCTCAAGTTTTCATTTTTTTGCCCATACCAGGGCTTAAACTCAGGGCCTGGGCACTGTCCCTTAGCTTTTTTGCTCAAGGTTGGTGCTCTACGGGTAACTTGAACCACAGCTCTACTTCCAGCTTTCTGGTGGGTGATTGAAGAGTCTTACAGATTTTACTGCCTGGGTTGGCTTTGAACAGGGATCCTCAGATCCCAGCTTCCTGAGTAGCTAGGATTAACATGTAGGAGCCACTGATACTAAGCTAGAAATCTGTCTTCTTTATAATTGACTTTTAAGTATTCATCAGAATTGGATATCCATGTACCTGTAGTCAAATGAATGTTAACAATGCCCTCCCTAATAAAAAGCCTTCCCAGATTCCAGGAGGGACCAACCAGGGCACAATAACACAAACCATGGCATGGTATCAACTTGACCCAAGCACCTTATAGCTTGAAAATAAATAGCCCCTGAACATCAGGAAAGAGGCCTCCACACCTCACAAATCTTAAGGTTGAACTCTGACATCTGCAATAAAGAACCAAATAGGTAGGACCCTGGTAACTGCTCATAATGGCTCAAGGCAGAATGTTATAAATTCATCTCCCTCCCACCATGAACATTACTACAAATCCTAGTTTTTGCCTCTCATATCTTCTCCAAAGACAATAAAAGTATAAAATGCTTGCCAGGCACTGATGGTTCATGCCTGTAAACTTAGCTTCTCAAGATGCTGAGATGTGAGTGAAGATTGTGGTTCAAAGCTAGCCCAGGCAAACAAACCTGTGGGACTCACCTCCAATTAACCATGAAAAAGCCAGAAGTAGAGGTGTAGCTGAAGTGACAGAGCTCTAGTCTTCAGTGTAAAAGCCAAAGCAAAGAGGGACAGTTCCTGAATTCAAAACCCTGTACACTCTCTCTCTCATACACCCACACACACATCATTATCACTGAGAAAATATGCATACCAACAATTAAAGATGGATTTGTATTGTCCCCACCCCTAGACCTAGAGTCTAAAGCCTGAAATTTTCATGCGCTGATTTCTTCTAATAAAGCCCAGAGGACAGACTATCAGATACATGATACACACCAATTGGGCCCATCTGGATATTCCTACCTGCAGCATATGACTGCTTTGCATGAGAGTGCCAAGTCCAGGAAGCTTCTCCTGACTTCGAAAGACAGAGCATACTTCAGCGTATGACCATCGATGATGAGTGCTATGTCATTCTCTTTGCCTAGCAAATTGCCAAGATCTGTGCAGTGCTGAGTGATGGCTGCCCTGGTTGCCTGGAACAAGAGTAGAAGGGAATCACATATGTATGCTTAACAGAACTCCAAGGTAAGTTCTTTGAAAGCAGAACATGGAGAAATACAAACTGTTCAACCTGGTAACACAACACATTAAAAGTCATTGTACTCAGCTGGGTATTCAGGCTCATGCCTGTCGTCCTAGCTATTCAGGAGGCTGGGATCTGAAGTTCACAGTTCAAAGCCAGCCCAAGCAAGAAAGTCTCTGAGATTTTTATCTCTAATAAACCACTGAAAAGTCAGAAGTGGAGCTGTGGCACTTAAGTGGTTGAGCACTAGTCTGGAGCAAAAAAACCAAGGGACAAGGCCCAGGTCCTGAGTTCAAGCCTCAGTGTCATCAAACACACACACACACACACACACACACACACACACACACACACAAGTAATGCACACCATTCTCAGAGTGGGATTCATTTGATATTTACAATCATCACTTTGGTTGGGGTATTTGGTTGATCCAGAACTTGTAACTTTCTTCCACCAGAAATGCAATTTAAGGATTTTAAGATACTTATATCTCTCTTCTTTACACTGCACAGACATTATTTCTGATGCCCCAGAGTAGAAATTCCATAGAAACAAATGTTATTTATGGTTCAAAAGATAGCATTACTGAAATCCAAATGGCAAACACAACTATGTCTCACTTTCTAAAAGGCAATCTTTACAAACTCCAAAAGATACATACATATACATAAACACATACACACACATAAGCACACACACATACATATATACATATACATATATATATATATATACATAAAAGATTAATTTCTAGGGGGCTTGGAAGGTGGCTCAGTGGTAGAGCGCTTGCCTTGCATGCATGAGGCTCTGGGTTCGATTCAATTCCACATAAGCAAAAAGAAAAAAGCCGGAAGTGGCACTGTGGCTCAAGTGGTAGAGCGCTAGCCTTGAGCTGAAGAGCTGAGGGACAGCGCCCAGGCCCAGAGTTCAGGCCCTATACCGGACCAAAAAAAAAAAAAGATTAATTTCTATTCCATTTGAGATCAGATTAAACCATTTTCTCCATGTTATCATCAGAATAAGAAATTAACTGTTTTTACATATATGGAAAATGTCTAATCAAACTACCCAAACCTACCAAAATATATTACTTGTATCCTAAATAAGCACCTTAGTGTGGTGTCTTGTTACATGGAATTAAAACCTGGATCCATCTTTTATGGCTTAAAACAAAGAAGTTCTAAATGAGCAGGGAAAAGGAGCAGATAGGATAGGGGAGAATGATGGAATAGGTGACTCTGATCAATAGGCTCTAGACACAGATAGGCCCATTAAATTGTAATCCCTTGTATAACTATTTGAAGTTCAGAAAAAGATTTTTGTAAAAAAAAGTTGCTTTGACCATCTCAGGGAATTTATCAGTACATGTTCAGGGAATCTAGCTTAACTACAAGGAGATTTTTGACTAATCCAACTATGGTTTAAGCAGGACACCAGTGGCTCACACATAATCCTAGCTAGTCAGCAGGCTGAGATCTAAAGATCATGGTTCAGAACCAGCCTAGGCAGAAAGGTCCATGAGATTCTTATCTCCACTTAACTACCAAAAAAATCTAAAAGTGGAGGTGTGGCTCAAGTAGTAGAGTGCTAACCTTGAACAAAAGAACTCAGGGACAGTATCTAGGTCCAGCATTCAAGCTCCAGGACAGGCACACAAAAAAAATAGTGTGTATGTGTGTGTGCATTTATGTGTATGTATGTATGTATGTATGTATGTATGTGGTTTAGTTTATCAAGCACAAAAGTCTGAAATTATTTTGTCTGGATGATAATCATTTTGGTACAAAGTTTCATATTTTCTTGTAATTTATCATATGATTATATAAACTGTAATCTTAAAGAAGTATGTTTAATGAACAGATATCTTTTCCCCCTTAGTTATAATGAAGATAGAAGCTATTACAAAGTAAGAAAGAGTTTCCACCATCTTCTTGTGGGAGAAAACCACAATCTGAGTCTGTTATGTGTTACTCTCACAGAATCCCTGAGTCTGGGAAATGTATAATGAATATGTCTATTAACTCATGGTTATGGCAACTTGAAAGCCTAAGACCAAGAAGTTTCCATATTGTGTCACCCTATGGCAGAGGGAAAAGGAAGGCAAGCCAGTCTGAGTGATCAAACTTGAAGTCTCAATTTCTTTTCTAATTGGCATTAATCCATTCGTGAAAGTGAAATTTCATGACACAATCACCTCTCTTTGGACCCCCACCGCACCCCCCAACACTATATGATTAGGGGTTACATTTTGAACACACCAACTTTCAGGAACATTTTCAGATGAGCAGGACCCAGGCTTCATGGAGCTGGGAAGTGGATGTGTGGGAGATATAGATACCTTGGCTACTTACTACGAGAGAGCCAAAATTATTAAATTATACTACAGTAACTAGGAAAATTTCACACTGATAATTTCATGGCCAGAGATTTTCTCACATAATAAAACACAAACTAGCCATGTTAACTCAATTAAGTAGATATGTAAGTCAAAACTATTTTAGTCAACTAACCAAAATATAGTTATGAGTGGCTACATGCTCTAATATTGACTTTTAAAAAAAGATGTGTTTCATGTAATCTACCTCATAAATATTTTTTAAAAAAATTTTAAAAATGTGTGTGAGAGAGAGGGGATGAGAGAGAGAGGAGAGGGAGAAAGAGAGAGAGAGAGAGAGGAGAGAGAGAGAAAGAGAGAGAGAGAACACTGAGCCACAGTTCTACTTCCAGGTTTTTGTTGGTTAACTGGAGATAAATCTCATGGACTTTCCTGCCTTGGCTAGATTCTTAGATGTTAGCCATCTGAGCAGCTAGGATTACAAGTATGAGCCACTGGTGCCCAACTTTTAAAATCTTTTTAGAAATTATCTTTAAGTAGCTGTGCAAAGGGATTTCTTAAAATCTTAAAATACAATGAAGGCAAAAAAAATGCCCACAATGAAATAAGGCAAGCTTAATATTCTCCTAGGAGTGTATTCCATATATCACTACTACCATGCCCTAATAACCTTTGCCTCATTTTTGTATTTGGTTGGAATTACATTAAATTGTAAATCTGATGAAGCCAGTGACTCCTTTCACTAACTTCTGATCATGTTAACTCATGGCAAAGTGTGAACCAATGCAATAGTGATACAAGATATTCACTGGAAATGAACTTTACAACTTGGGGGGCACTGAGGGAGAGGAAAAGTGGGAGAAAAATGAGGGAGGGGTAACAATGTTTGACAAGAAATGTACTCACTACCTTACATATGTAACTGTAACCCTTCTTACATCTCCTTGACAATAAAATTAAATTTTTAAAAAGTGCTCAGTGCATATGTTGAATCACAAGTGAATTGAGATATCCAAGTTTTGACTCAATTTCCTTTAATATCCATGGCAGTCATTTGCTAGCCCTGGGTTCAAGCCCTAGGACCAACACAAAAGTAAATAAATAAACAAAAAACAGTTCTTGATTCTTACTAGCTGCTTCTGGATTTTTTGGCCTTCAGCTACTTGTACTCCTAAGTTGCTTTCCTTCCTATGCTCCCCTCCACTCCATTTCATCTGCTCAGAATCCCACTATTGCCTTGGAGATTAAAAGCATTCCCTACCACCTAAACCTCTGTAGATTCATCCTTTCAGCTCTCTATTGGACTTCTCTCTCACCTCTGCTTTCGGTTTCATTCCTACAACTTCCATGCCTACTCAGCAATAATATTTGATCAAACCCAGACTAGCAGGGCTCACCACATACATATGGCAGGATATAGGTCCCTTCTGTGCAGTTCTCACACAAGCCAATGGAAGGTATTACCATCACAAACAGTTCCTTATTCTCCAACGGACTATGATTCAAAAGTCTATTTGTAAGGTAGTTATTGGGCACTTAGAATCCATTTTCCCAAAGGAACCATGTTACAAATTGTGGTTGGATCCCAGGGTCTGTTAATACCTATTTAGCCCACTTGCTAAAAAATTTATACTACACTCTCTTAGTTTAATAAAAAACCAATTACTAAAAGTTACAATGGACTTAGCTGTTATAAGAGGCATAGGGAATTGGGGCTTGGAGTTTCATTCCCAGAAAGATAAGAAACATTCCAAAATCCTTCATTAGAATTTGCCTTCTAGGTGTTAATATGGGACTATATATTTCCAGCTGTTCATTCATGTTCTATAATTTCATATTCCTTTGCATTAAAAGCTCACTTTTTTGCCCAAATAGGTGACTGTAACCGATGATTGTCCCCTTAGCCATGCTGAACGGTCTACCCTCTTCACATTTCTCTAATGACCTTGTATTTCTTATGGCAAGGTTGGTGTTTGTCATTCCATTTCCAGTGTCTAAAATAAAACTAAACTGGGCGTTTGGGGCCTATCTACTCAGGCGGCTGAGATCTGATGATTGCAGTTCAAAGCCATCTTCAGCAGAAAAGTATATGAGACTCTCCTCCAGTTAACCAGCAAAAAGCTAAAAGTGGAGGTATGGCTCAAGTGGTAGAGTACCAGCCTTGAGTGAAAAGGCCAAGTGACAGCAACAAGCACTCAGTTCAAGCCCCAGTACTGGCACACATAAAAAAAATAAAATAAAACTACATAAACACCATAGACACATGACTTTGTGTCCTCAAGGATATTTGTATAGCTGCTGGTTTATACAGGCTCCTCTGATGGAATATTAAGGTATGTGCCATCTAAACCCAGAAAATATTTGGGGGCAGAGGATGTTTCCTGGGTACAGTGTTCTGAGCACTGTACCTTTGTTTTTCTGCTCAAAGCTAGCACTCTACCACATGAGCCACAGCTCTACTTCTGACTTTTATAAATAGGAGATAAGAGTCTCAAGGACTATCTTGCCCAGGCTGGGGTCAAACCATGATCCTCAGATTTTAGCCTCCTGAGCAGTTAAGATTATACCAAAACCAGGGTAGATATTCCATTTTAAGGCATTTAAACTTTGTTTT